TATATATATATATATATATACATATATATATATATATATATATATACACATATATATATGTGTGTGTGTGTGTGTGTGTGTGTGTGTGTTTGCAGTAATTTTTAAGTTTATGTTTTTCCATGAAAGAGAAAGAAAGAAAGTGGTAAGGGTACTCCCAACGGCTCTCCAGGCTGTGATCCACTCTGACCTCAGATGGCCTGGGCCTGGATCACAGGTAGGTATTTGTATCTGGCATGTTCAGGGAGATCCTGGGACATGAACCCATGGCATTTCCTGTATGGGTTCAGTCACATTAGCACTGCCTCTTCATCGGGCTTGCTAGCCAATGTTAGATGTTAGATGTCAAATGCTGTACTAAGCACTGTTCATACATTATTTCATTTACTCCTCAAGCAATTCTTACAAGGGAAATGTTATTAACTTAATCAGACAAATGGGTAAACTGAACCCTAGACTTTCACTTGTCCCAGTCAAGTTCCAGTTATCCTCAATGAGGCATTTGAACTTTGCAGCAAGTAGATCTGAGTTCAAATCCTGACCCAACACTTACAGATGAATGACCTTGATGTTTTTATATCAGTACTGTAAAGTCAGGGGTCCTGTCCAGACTTAAAATGTCTTTGATGTTCAACCTGATTTTACAGTAGATGTCATTAAGCAAAAAGCAAACAACTGAGCCATCCTATGTATAAAAATGATGCATATTTGCCAGAAAAGATTAAGGAAATTCCACACATGCTCTTTTAATTAATATTCCTAGCAGCCTCCGAATTAAACCTATAACTAAGGAAAGGCTGGGATTCAGTACAGATAAGATCCTTGACTCCTGGGTGGCTGAGAACTGGGGAGAATTAAATAAAGTGGGTAGTGAATGAATTAGTGCTAGTAAGTGTGGTGCAGATTCCAGGAGACACACTGGAATCCAGAAGAATCTGTGGGCTCAGGAATTTTTAGGAAGTTTCAAGAAGAGATTGAAATATTGGAGAATGTAAAGGTAGAGTAGATGCAGGAAAAGAGTAGTATCAGAAGCTGAGTGGAAGATGGTAATGGTTGCAGATTCCACCCTAACACCAGGACACCCTGTGTTTCATTTGTACAGGCAAGCCCACGGGGTATGGCTCCAGCAGTCGGAGGGCACCTCAGACAGGCATTGTGGATGAATGTTGCTTCCGGAGCTGTGATCTGCGGAGGCTAGAGATGTACTGTGCACCCCTCAAGCCGGCCAAATCAGCTCGCTCAGTCCGTGCCCAGCGCCACACCGACATGCCCAAGACCCAGAAGGTAAGCCTACCCCAGAGGATCCAGCCATCCTCAAGCAATTTCTATTTTAAATGTGTGGGTGGGACAAACAGAAATTCTGCCCCATAATCTCCTGGCTTACAGGTAGAAAACCTCCAATCTCACCAAAGGGATGAATTACATGCTCATACCTTTGGCCATTCAACATTGCAAATTATCCCTTTCACTGCTCTGGGCAATCTGACAACTAGAAAATGGTGACTAAACATGGGCTTTGGAATCAGACAAAACTGATATTCTAACTTCATCACCCACCACTTAAAGGTCCTTGGTCAAATATTGTTACCTATCCAAATCTTAGTTTCATTGGTAAAATGGGGCTAATGATAATTTCTACCACATCTAGTTGTTATAAAAATTAAGTTAATGCATAAGATACTTTTCATGTGCATGCACAAAGTAACTATTGGACAAGTATTAAGGTTTGTCATCATTTTAATTAATTTAAAAAGCACTTAAACTTTGGGATTTGAATAGTGCGAAGAAAAATGACACTCTAAATAGAAACTATTTGAAATTTACTCAGTGGCCAACATAATTAAAGAAAAACATTTAAAATAGAAATGTTGAGTTTAACTGTAAGAACACCTTCTTTCTAAAGAGCAAAATCTGCAAGCATCTTTTTCTAAGAGCTAGACCATAGACAAACTTTAGAGGTACCATTTATGCTATCCAAAGTATACATAGCAGACCTAGCCACAGCAGCACATGCTTCTAAGACCCTGTGCTCTTCTGTAATCACATGGGAGGCCTAGGTTCAATTTCCAGTCCAACATAAAGGCTACACACAGTTTTTTTCTTATGTGCCTGTAATCTCAGTGAGTCAGATAGACTGAGGCCCAAGGTTACTAGCTCAAGGCAGGACTAAGCAACATAGTAAGATTCTATCTAAAAAACAAAAACAAGAAAAAAAGATGTATATAAAATATCTGCTGCATGTTAGTTGTTTGACAGATTTTTAATAAATGAGGGAATTAATGGATGGGCACATAAATATAAGGAGTCAACTAAAATTTAGTAATGAATTAGAAAGAATGAGAACTATAAAGACAATGAAAGAAGTAAGAGAGAAAGCAAGTTATATGAGTAAGGAAAGAAAGAGCTCTCATTTAGGTCTCCTTGGACTCTGTTGAGATAAAAATTCCAATGTGTGCTTTCAATTTTTGGAGCCACAACTAACAAAATGCAAAAAGCACAAGATGGCAGACCAAGAAGCTCACACTAACACTTTGGCTTCGTCCTGGTCCTAAACCAGAGGTGGAGCTGGAGAGGACCATGGTGGCTTAGTGGAGCCACCTCGAAGAATGGAAGAAGACTGAGCAGAACTCAGTGTGCACAGAACACGGTGCCAATGGTGAGCCAGAGAGCAAGGACAACAAAAGAGACTTTTAGATGTCTATGGCAGAAAAGTGTGATGGAAAGGGCAAAGCAGGTTACTTTTTTTTTTCTCTTTCCAGGTAACCAGGAATTGCCTCTCAATTTCTAGTTAAGTATGGGGTGGTTTTCAGAGATGAATCCTAAAGTTCTAGAATATATGACTTAGATAGAGCCCCTTCTCCACTGCCCATGCTGCCTCCCACATGTAGCCCAGATGTTCTGGATAGACTCAAAGGCTCTGTCTTCAGGGATGCTGTAGGAACCACCTATTCTCAATGAAATTATTTTTGTGATGTTTACAGTCTCAGCACACATCTACCAACAAGAAAACGAAGTCTCAGAGGAAAAGGAAAGGTGGGTCAAAGGAATACCCAGGAGGGAAACAGAAGGAGGGGATGAAAGCAAGTCAGCAGATCAGAGGAAAGAAGAAAGAGCAGAGAAGGGAGACTGGAGCTAGAAACTCTGAATGCAGAGGCGAGAAAGGAAAATGGAGGCGAGAACAACTAAGCAGACACGGGCAAGGATGAGGAGAGAGGAACAGACAGCAACACAGATGAGCAGGAAATGCTATAGAGAACATGAAAAAACGTAGGCCTGGTGGAGCTAGATGATGCATGTGGCGGAAGTAGAGTAACCTGTCATAAAATGAGGCTAAGGAATGTGTAAAAAATGGAAAAGAAAAATCTAATGTCTAAGAAAGCCCAAGGAAAGATAGTGCCCAATAATGAAAACAAAAAGACCAAAAATTATTAAAAGAGGCAAACACAGCACATTATTTCCTCCCTCCTCCAAATTAGAGTAAGAGAATTCAGACTTTAAAAAAAAGAAAAGAAAACCCAAGATTTTCATAGGTATTTTAAAATTTTGTATGAATCTGTTATAAAGAAATTGACTATGTCAATATATGTTCAGAGTTAAACATTAGCCCAAAATTCTCAGCAAGACTGAATTGTGTCATAGAAGTTCCCAGATTCCCTTTCCTACGATATCATTGGAGGCTACGTTTCTTAGTCAAGTCCAAGGTTTAGGACAAAGGGCATCCAATATTTGCCTAAAAACTGGGAAGACCTATGAGGTAACTTTTGAGAGGAGGTAAATGAACTTCCTCTTTTTTTCTTTCTTTCTTTTTTTTTTTTTCACTTTGGTATCAGGTACAAAAGATGTATCAGTCTGTTAAGGCTGTCATAACAAAATACCACAGCCTGGATGGCTTAAACCACAGAAATGACTGTCTCAGAGCTCTAAAGACTAGATGGTAAAAGAATCAAGGTCTTGGTCCTTCTGAGGGCCATGGTGAAGGATTTGTTGCAGGCATGCCTCTCTCCTTGACTTGTAGATAGCTTCCGTCTCCTCGCCCAGGTCTTTACATTGTCTTCCCTCCAGATATACCTCCACGCCAAAATATCCTCATTGTACACAGACACAAGTCAGATTACTTTAGGGTCCATCCTGATGACCTCATTTTGACTAAAGTATCTCTGTAAAGATCTTCCTTCCAAATACAGTCCAATTTTGAGGTACTTGACGTTAAGACTTCAACATATGAATTTGAGGGGAAGAAGATACAATTCAGCCCATAACAATATTTTTGATGTCTGACTATTCCTTTGATGTTACATCTGGAAAACTCTCTCTCTCCCTCCCTCTGATGCACAGATCTAGATTTCTATATCTGAAATTCTATTCATTTCTGCTCCATAAAATGTCTATGAATGTGTTATATTAGAACTGGAAGAAGCCTCAGAAATGATTTGGTTCAATCTCTTCATTTTTAAAGACCAGGACTCTGAGATTCAGAAATGAATAAAGATGTACCTGAATTTTGTTCTATTTTTGTTTCTTCATTTTGTTTTGTTTTTGTAGAGGTTTTTGCCTTAGGGTGCATGCACTCATTGTGAGACAGAAGGAAAGTGAGAAATCATCCCTAGGGAGGATGGCCATGCCTATATAATCCCCTTCTCCTCTGTTATCTTCCCAGGATCTTGGGCATGTGTATACACATGCCCAGCAAGAGTTTCAAGCCACCAAGTTGAGGACACAAACCATGAGTGGCCGTGTGGGAGTCCAGTGATGTAACCTCTATGCCATCTGCTGGCCCCATGTGTCTGAGTTCTAAGCTATTCTCCTCTGGCCACCAGACAACAGCATTAAAGTCAGTAGACTACAAAAAAATTCCAAAAGGGAAAGAAGGGATAGAACATGGTCACATAATGTCTCCTTGATTTAATATTTTTCTGACAGAAAGTAGTGAATGAGAACAAGAGTGCTGGATTTCCCTAAGGATAGTAAAAATCTAAGTAGAATCCCAGAATTAGGTCTTAGAGATTGTCTCCTTCAGTTCCCTTGAGTTGTTTCATAAAATTAGGGTTTTTATAGATAATAAGGCTAAAGTGTCTCAAGACCCTTTCAAATTATGAATTTCAAGAGCTGAGGATACAAGAGAGGCATGCTTAGCCAAAGAAATTATAACATTTGCAGTAAGAAGATGACAAAATCAAGAAGTATTTCATCCATGTAGCCTACTTTGAAGATGTCATGGTATAAAGGAACCTCCTTTCCGCCTGTCCTCGTGCCCCTGTGAAGCTTTCTACTCCAGGATCACCCTTTCTCCACGGTTCACTGGAAATCCCAAAACCCTCAAATATAATGGAGGTGATCAAGGCTCAATCTGGAAGGAAAAAATCAGAAGCAAAGCAAAGACCCTGATGGGAGCCAAGTCACTGCTGCTGTGGTTACAAAATGGAATGCTGGCTTATCAGAGCAGACAAAAATGGGGACAGTGCCTGAGTCTATCTGGCCATTCACCTTATTTAGGAGATACTGTTTCCTCCCACTAAGATATCCAAACTCTGGAACTGGCTTTAGACACAAGTCAATATCAGCTACAACCATCACTTCAGAGTAACTTCCAAACACAGATGGCTCTTCAAGGAATAACAATTCTTCAAAAGAATTGGAAATTCATGTCCTATGGAAATGTTTGGGTAAACTATAGTTATATCCAATTCTAATTCATTCAAGAGGAATTAACCAGAGGCTTAAAAGGAAGAGCAATAGAATTTTCCAGTTAAAGAATGTTTAAGCCCAGATTATGCATTAAAACATACTTTAAAAATTTTTTTAAGATTATTTTATTCAACTATATTTCTTTATTTATTTTAATTTGACCAAAGAGGGAGAGAGTGAGAGAGAGAGGAAAAAAAGGTGAGAAAGAAAGCTGCCATATCTGAGACTCAAACCACAGTCAACCATGTGGGAATCCAGCACCTTTAACCACCACACCACCTGCTGGCCCAAAACACAAATTTATTTTTGAATTGGGTTTTAGCAACTCTAAATTGATTATCTTGAATGTCTGCGTGAGCTTACCAAACAATATGAACTAAGAAATCAGGAAGAATCTTTTATTGTCTTTCTATCCTCTCTTTCTAGAATCAACACTCAAGTACCTGGTGATACATGGCATATAATGGTAGATGGATGGATAGGTGGTCAGATGGACAAATTAGTGATATAGGCAAATGAATAGTGATAGAAAAACAGACCATAAAAATAAGTTGCATTGCTGAGATATAATGATTCCTCTCATCCCACATAGGACAGTGAGGCAAATATAGAATTAAAAAGCAAAGGAGTTAGGGTCACACAATTCTTGCATGTTTGGATTTTCCTTTTGTAGCCTAAATTTACATTTTTCAAGGACCTACTGCTATGCAGATGGCAATTAGTACTTATAGTGAATGTAATATGCCTTTTATTCCCCTCTATGTTTTCTTGAAATAGGCAAAGTATTAATCATCCTTTAAAATTTAAATGTTTTATCTTCATCTGTGTCTCTTAGAGCAAAATGACAATGTGTGTAAAACTAAATAGAATATGTATGGAATCATAATCCAGAAATAAACAGTTGAAAAGTATTTTTTAGTGAGCATTTGCAATGTGCAAACCTCTTCTTGACACAAAGGAAAGTTATAAGCGTTAAAGACACAATAAAATATAGTTATTAGTGTCAGGATGCCTGAGTTCAAATTCTGTTTCTCTCTTACTTATTAGCTGTTGTGCTTTGGGCAAATCATATAATGTACCTGTGCTTCAGTTTCCTCATTGTCAAATGAGGGCAACAACTGAATATATCCTACACAATTTTTCAGATTTATTGAGATTATATATATATATATATATATATATAGAGAGAGAGATTATCGTGCTTAAGACAGTTTCTGGCACGTAATAAGCACTATGAAAGTTTTAGTTAATACCATTTTTTTAAAAGAATGATTTACTTAATTTTTTATTTATTCATTCATTTATTTTAATTTGACCAGAGAGAGACATACTCAGAGAGAGAAAGAGAGAGAGAGAGTGAGAAAGTGAGAAAGCAAGCCACCAAGTCCAAAACTAGAACTGTGGTCGGCCATGTGGGAGTGTTCAGTGCCTTAACCACCATGCGACCCGCTGGTCCCCTAGTTAAAACCATTTTATGTTGTTCTTAAAAATGGAGCCATGTGAAAGAATTATTACCCCTGGATCTATGGGTAATTCCAACTTAAATGGTAGCTCGGTTCTCCTTCGTTAAGAACCATTAACTTTCATATTAGGGTCATACAGTGAGCTTTCAGAAAACCACCATTGTTCTCAACTAGTTAAAATCAAATGTAATATGTGTTTTCATTTCATGGTGCCTGGGGAAAATTTAATTGTAGCATGAACTCCAGCTTTTGCTAGTCTTAAGTAAAATAGCCAAAATAAATAAAAATGTGAGATATTTCCGGGCTCACACAGCTTCCGGAACACTTCAGTTTCTATGTTTGCCAATCCAATGCCTTTCACAACCATTTAATCTTTCAAATACCTCTTGAAAACAAAACTTCATACAACTTCAAATGTGCGTGCTGCTTGGATGTAAGGGTGGAAAGAGAGGCAAAGAAATGAGTTCCTAAAGAGCAACACCTCTTTTATCTCCTTCATCCCCTAGCCACCTCCCTCCCACCTGAGGGAAACAATGGTTTCTTTATTATATTTATTTATATATATATATGTGTGTGTGTGTGTGTGTATAGGAAAGGTTTCTGTTATAGGGTACGTGCGCTCACCAGAAAGAGCGACAGAGAGAGACAGAAAGCGAGAAACTCCAGTGAGGATGGCCACGCCACAATCCCTTCTCCTCCATTCTCCACTCAGGATCTTGGGCATGCATGCACACATGCCTGGTGTGAGTTTAAGCCTCTGAGTTTGGGACTCAAACTGTGGTTGACTACTTGGGAGTTCAGCAACATAGCCATTATGCCAACTGCTGGTCCCATATTATTCAATATTTTTAGATTTAATTACTGTAGATCCTTATAGTGCACATA